CTTTTCTATTTTTCCTAGTTTTATATATAAGAGTTCATTCTTTATGTTCTGCTAAAAGAGGTTTCTTCCAGACTGAAGAATAATATTTATGAGACCTTTTTCACAAAAGTTTTTTTTACACTCAGACAAGTAGTTCTGGATATTTTTAAAATGCTAAAAATCTTGAAAACTCTGTGATTGTTTATATGAAGTCTAACAATCATTCCACATTCAAAAACAGTTAGTTCTTTTGAATTTGAAAAAAGGTTATACAATAAATTTTTATTAGTTGAAATTAATCTGCTGAAGACTTTTGGTGGGATGTACATTTATAACATATTTTAGAGATACCTAAACCTTTATAAAATTATATAATTTTAATAAGAAAATTATATAAATTATAATAATAAAAATTTTTTTTTAATAAATTTTATTATAATTAATAATAAAATATTTATATAACATTTTATATTTTTTTATGATATTATAATAATTTTATTAATAATATCATATAAAATAACTATTAAAATTTTAAATAATTTTTTAATTTTTAATTAAATTATTTATTAATCAAATTAATTATATATTTTTTATATATTCATCGTAATATATAATAATTATTATTATTAGAAAATTGATATTGATTTTACTTAAAAAAATATTTTTATTTCATGCCGTAAATCTTTATGAATTGGATACATTTAAATGTGATGTGATGAGAGATAACTTTTTTCCTGGAACAGGTATCCTGTGATTATCCCAATTAATTAATCGATTGTCAAAGGTTCCTTTCCGTAATGATGTTTAATAATCAATAATTACAAGTACGTTTTTTAAAAATACGTAATAATTAAATTTAAGGTCAAAACAAAAAATTAGAAAATCTTTAATAATCGGTCATTAAAACTGAACGTAGAATAATCTTTGAAACAAATTTCTCATAATGGCTCAAAATTCTGACAATGAGTTGAAGAATTAATGCAAGGGCCATACCCGTGTAGCATATTACCTCATTTACACTCCTTATGGGTATTCACAAATATCAATAACAACAAAAAATGAAACTAACAGAGGTTCTATTCGAAATTTCAAATAGAGATTCGAATATTCGAAAATTGAATCTCGTGATATTCGAATGAAATGTATACTAATCAAAGTTTAAAAGTGCCGGATGATTCACAAAGTTTAATTATATCAAAAGAAAAAAAAATTTCAGACGACACAAAAAAATAAATAAACTTTCTTTGTCAAATATTTATTTAATTAAACGTGTAATTTCATATTATTTATGAACAGATTTAATAGAATGTAACATTACCTTATTACTATTTATACCAATACCAAATATTTTTAATCTAACTTTGAATGCCATATGAACTTTTCTATTTTGGTTATAATTTGATGCGCAAATAATAATATGTTGATATCCCGGGACGATGTCCATACTTAAACAATGTTTAAATTTATAATAATTACTAAACTTTATTTTTTTTTAAAAAAAAAGAAACCAATAAATAAGATGGATTTCACACCCTAATGGAGTTAATAATAACAATTCCAAAAAAATGAGATATATTAATTAGATGTAAATCATCATATGTTTTCCCGAATAAGGAGGTTCAACTTTTATCGTACAAATATGGTTGTGGTATAAATAATTATTTAATTGCTTCTTCTCTATTCATGACCTGACATATATTTGTTGTTAAACATTGCACGAATTTAATGAATTAATTAAAATGCTAAACGTGGTTGGTGATCATAATTTGAGGACACGTTACCTTTAAAATAAATGGATTACGCAATTTACACCAAGCAAAAGTTTAAAATCTCATTTGTTAATAATAATTTACAACAATCTAAAAATAAAATATTTATTTAATATTATTATGTAACCAAATAAAAAAAATAATGACGTAAACCGGGTCAAACAACTGCATTTAGCTATAAAATGTATTCGTGTTCTAACCTTTTAAGGCAAGACATTTTTCAATAGTTATTTATATAGTAACACTTCTTTGGAAAAAAAAGATGATTTGCAATGTAAATCATTCGGATTATATAACCAATGATAAATAACAGATCGAATGATTTTAATGTGATCAAAATTATTTAGACAATAAATAAACTATAGAAAAATAAATGTATTTGTATTACTATATTTAAATTTTTTTTGTTGTTGTTGAGAATTATTATAATTAAATTTGAATGATAAATCTAAAGCGAACATTTTTCTAATAATAAATAAATAGTCCCTTTCTATGGAAATTATGTTAATTGCCTTAGATATAAATGGTTCCTATCATCATTATTAATCCACAAACAATACTTAACAATGCATTATTTTTAATTGAATTGGAGTCGTTTGCGCTGATAACTGGAGGTTTTTCGGTGTCGTCTGGAGTTTTAGCGTTATCACCTTTTGGAGATTTTTCATTTCCTCCTTGAACTCCACCGGTAGGATTTGATTTAGGAAGTGTGACCTGTTCAGCGTATGGTTGTTGATCACCCAAACAAACACTCAAACTTTGTAGATTGAATTTAGCCTCCATTACAATATCCATAGCTTCTGCTGCTTTTGAAGCGGTTTTTTCATAAAGATCATGTTCTAAAGAAATATGTCCAAGCGGAGAAGTTGTATTTTGTACCCAAACTGAAAA